AAAAAAGATGTGCATACTTATGTTGTACATACACAAATGAGCAAACAACCGTCAACACTCCGTGTGTCATTCTGTCACATAGCCCTTGTTCCACCCAATAGTTTCCATTAAGTGAAATTTCTAAATCTTTGGTAAAAGGTGGTCACAGAAAACTGTTGCCCAAGGGACCAGCAGTTAGCGTAATGGCTATGTGGCTGAACTCCCATGTAGCCGACCGCAGTTCAATTCCTGGACTTGATGGCTTAAACTCATGGTGGGCACATGTGCGTGTGTGCCCAAGATCCCTAGAGGAGAATGGAGGAGAAGGGATTGAGGCGTGGCCATCTTCTCGGTGAGTGATTTCTCGCTTTCTATCTCTCTGTCTCTTTCTGGAGAGCGCATGCGCCCTATAGCAAAAAGCTTTCCAAAAAAAAAAAGAAAAAAAGAAAAGAAAAGAAAGAAAACTGTTGCCCAAATCATTGATGTCAATTTTGTGAGGACAATATGACAAATCCTGCTTGAACTTAATGCTAAAGAAATTTTGCTCTAGTTTTTGTGTTTTCTATTGCTTGAGACTGTACACAATATGTATCATTTAATGGATTTCATTTTTTTGTGGAAGATGCAATATATACATATTGCATAGTTATCATTTCAATATTAAATAAATCCACAAAGAGCCCTCTAAGTAAACCATATATATAGAAAAAGTTCATTTTAGAATTAAACATAGTTAGAAATAGTTCATTCAGTTAGAAAGACTCCTCATACTGGGGTAAAGTAAATAGATGGTGATGAATGAAATGTGTTTAGAAATCAAAAGGTGACTGAGAGGGCCAGCAGATAGCAAAGCAGTTACGTGACTGGACTCCCACATGGCCAACTGTGGTTCAAGTCCCAGACACAGTGACTTGAAACTCACGCTGGGCACATGTGTATGTGTGCCCAAGATCCTGGGAGGAGAACTGAAGAGAAAGGACTGTGGCATTGCCATTCTTACTAGGGGTTCATTTCTCGCTTTCTTTCTCTGTCTCTCCATCAAGCACACGTGACCAATAGCAATAAAACTCTCCCAAAAGAAAAAAGAAAATTGACTAGTGAGCTTTTGGAAAGCCTAAGGAGTGAAAAAGTTAAAAAAATGTGTTTCTCCATTGTATTCTATTTAAAATATAAAATTATGATACTTTAACAGTAAAACTTAAATTTTGTCATTCAAGTAGGTTTTTATTATCAATACACCTTATAGCTGACTCCAGTCAAGATCAGTTCTCTGTTATTCCTTACAGTTTCCAAATACAATTGTCTAAATGGCACAACATAATTAATCTAAGGTGTTCTAAATTGATTTGCCAGTGGGAAGGTACTAACAGTTTCTTTTTTTTCTCGAGTTTTCTTCTCAGAGTACATTGTAGAAAACTGAATGATATGATCTCATGTTATATCAAATGCATATCTTTCAAACATAATCATAAATCAATAAAAACTTTGTATATTATATGCTTGGAGTTAAAAGCACACATGGCTTTTAAATTAAACTGATTTATGTTTTAAATAAAACCAAAGAAAAAGATTAATAAATTATAAATAGGATCATATTCAGTTTTAACCTCAACTTAATTGATTACAGAGCAGAGAACACTCCTCAGTCGTGCTGCTGGGAATGAATCTATCCATCAGTGGCTCATTTTTCCTAATCTTTAATCAAAGGAAGAGGTTGCTCTTGTTAATAAGTTTAATGCTTTGAAATTAGAGAAGCTTCAATATTTTATTAATGGCAATTGCAGGTCATTGGTGAAATGGTTTCATGACAGTAATTAAGGAACAAGTTGAATATTGTACTCTGAATATATTGAAGATGAATGTTCATAGTATCTAAGAGATTTCTGTATTAGATTGTGATACCCAATGAGAATGCACAACATTGGAAAGAATCCTTCACTCTTTGCTAGAATAGACCTCTTTATTTTTTTGCCTGTGGAAATTTGGAAAGAGTAAGAGCTATGCTAGATGTCATAGAGAGTGTATGCAACTACCTCAAGGAGTGAGATAAAAGGGACAGTCTAATAGCACCTTAAGATCTTTCTTTTAGTTTAAATTATAAGGTAACCAAACTAGAAGTAATATAATTATTGGAATATAGAAACAGAAGTGATATTACCATGCAAAAATACCTTTGTACCTACTTTTTCTTTTCTTTTTTTTTTTGCTATAGGGCACGTGCGCTCGCCAGAAAGACAGAGAGAGAGACAGAGAGACAGAAAGTGAGAAATCACCCCCCAGGGGGGATGGACACGCTGCAATCCCTTCTCCTCCATTCTCCTCTCCGGATCTTGGGCACGCACGCACACGCGCCTGGCGTGAGTTTTAAGCCACCAGGTCCAGGACGTGAACCGTGGTCGACTACGTGGGAGTCCAGCGACATAGCCATTATGCTAACTGCTGGTTCCCTGTACCTACTTTTTCTTATGTACACTTATAAAAATCATTATTATCAGAGATAAGTATACTTTTACATTATGTTTCTTCCTTTTCTATATTGCTACTTTTTTTTTTTTCACCTTTACATAGTATTGTAGCCTTTCAAATATAACTGAAGAACTTAATCAAGCAGGGTCCTACCTATCTTGGGGCACTTTCATGGCTTCCAAAGAACATCACTGACTATAATTTTCCCATATTTTATGTGTCTGGAACTGAGAACAGTTAGTCAAAGAGTGGTGATATTCTTTTCTTTTTAAATTGATAAGTAAAAATTGCATATATGTATTTATGATGTACAACATGTTTTGACATACATGTACATTGACAGAGAGACAGTACCCTCAACCTATCAACATAGTCTTGTTGCTGCACCCTACTGCAAGTCTCAGGCTGCTCTGGATCCTGGGAGCATGCATAACAAGCATCTGCTAGGAAGTTCCCAAATGAAAACTCAGAGCCTTCCCATAAGAATCGGCCTCACAGGGCATACACTTTCCCACTCTGCGCCATCCAGATTGCTATGGCCATATAGCTATCTTAAATAACTTTGATAGGGAACCAGCAGTTAGTGTAATGGCTATGTCACTGGACTCCCATGTAGTCGACCGTGCTTTGTATCCCGGACCCGGTGGCTTAAAACTCACGCCAGGCGCATGTGCGTGCATGCCCAAGATCCCGAGAGGAGAATGGAGAAGGGATTGCGGCGTGACCATCCCCCCTGGGGAGTGATTTCTCACTTTCTGTCTCTATGTCTCTCTCTGTCTGTCTGGCGAGTGCACGTGCTCTATAGTGAAAAAAAAAAATAACCTCTCCAAATAACTTTGATGGTGGAAAGTGAAAATGGAAATTACGTCTAGGTTTGGCTTTTACATTTTTGTTTTTCTTTTCTTTTCTTTTCTCTTTTCTTTTCCTTTTTTATTTTTTCCTTTTCCTTTTTTTTTCTTTTCTTCTGTATAGGGCTTATGTGCTATTCACTGGAGAGAGTGGGAGAAAGAGAGTGAGATTACCCCCCACCCCAAAGGGAGATGTCTACACCACAATCCCTTCTCTTCCATTCTCCTTTCAGGATTTTTGGTACCCATGCATATGCTTTTGGGTACTTAAGCACATGCACACCATATGTTTTACAAACCTCTGGTCCAGGACTTAAACCACACAGTCAGTCATGTGGGATCTTGCTGCCTTAACCTCTGAGCCCCTCGGTGGTCCAGTTTTTATACTTTTAACTTTCAAAAATAATCATATTATTACATATAGTACAGTGTTTCTCTAAGTTAGTTCTGTAGACTTCTAGTTGCCCTGGATGCTTAGTGGGAAAAAAAAAAAAAAAAAAAAACCTTCCTAAAGAATTCTATATACTTTACATTTCCTTAAATTGCCAAAATAAATTCTTACATATTGAATTTTATTGCTATGAGAAGGAAGAAAAGATTTTGTTTAACTGAATTTTCAAGGTTGGTTTGACCTTGACTTGATTTTTTGCAGGCATCTATGACCATCCCATCCCCAGAAAGAGTG